ACAAGATATAAACGTTACCGAATTAATGAACAACCTAGAAAGCCGGTGTAATTTCTTAGAATAGCTATATTTGATTTTATAGTATTGTTTGAATAGTAAAAGGGGTCAGATTTTAGAAAAACTATTACAATATTTTACAATTTCTTCTAAGTTATCTATGATAGTTTAATATTTAATGCTTGCAGGTCTACATGGATAAGCCTAACAACCCAACATTAATCATCAAAGCAAAAGCCTTTGCTAAAAAAAAGGGTGTCAAGAAATACAGATGCTTCGTTTTTACCCGTTACAACAGACTTCTTCTAAATTATCTAAGTTTGTGTTAATGCGTGGAGGTAAGACTATTTTGGTAAGGTAATGAAATAATATCAAACACTGAAGGTCCATCAGAAAGTATACCAAGAAGTACAGAAGCTTTTATTTTTACCCACGTCGCTCACATATTTAAGCCACTGTGCGACACGTCGTCTCGAGTGCGTTTTTCTCTAGGCAGACGTGCGTCTGCACAACATCTGGTAGTGGAAGTGGCAGTTGAGGTGCTTTCCTAGCCACAATTTGGCCCGTAAAGCTATATAGAGCCCTGCAGTGTACTGTCTTGTTTAAACTCTTATTGTTTACATTGCTGGCTTCTTGCATGTTCTGCAACTATATTTTTGTGTGTAGCTTTTGTTGCTGTTTTATGTTGTTTTCAATTTGTTTCTGTTGATTTTCTTGGTTGCCTGCATTATGGTATGTTGCTCATTACAACATATTGCATAGACGTTGTTGTTGATGCTGTTGGGATACGCATTTCTTCGTGGCTGGATTTGGTTTTGATTATGACGGTGGCGCTTCTGGCTGCCCCCAACATCGTGCTTGCATATGTTCACATACATGTATATGATTTATAGATACACATATTTATAGTGGATAAATGAATGTGTGTATCATATGTGCTTTGCCAAAAAATTATTATGCCATTCAAGTTTCGCTTTTTCAAATATTTGATTGGTTCCAAGTGCCATGCACTGCCAAAATGGATTTTTAATTCCCAACTATATTTTAATATGGAAAACGAGCGTTCGCTTTAATTGATTAATTCTTCTTGTTGCTCTTGTCCCAATGTTGTTGTATTTGATTAAAGAAAACATTTAATATGAAAGGTCAATTGCTACATATGGTAATTTGACATATTCTTGTGTAGAAGTCATCATAATAACGATAGAAGCCGATCTATTCCAGGCAACTGATGAGTTCACCAATGGACACGCTTGACCTACATTAGCTAGACTCAAAGATTGCGAGTAAAAAACTATTCCAAGCCACATTAACATTCTAAAAGACTAAACGAGAAATCCTTTCGTGTTAATAATGGCTACAAAATCAATACAATGTGGAATCCTCTACTATCAAAAGGCATTTTGGCTTGAATTTCTGTATTCGAAAAAGTGGTTATCTAAAAAGTCTGAATTTACATCTAGTCGATTTCTGTACAGTTCAAAGTTTCAGATGTAGGAGAAGTGATAAAAAAAAGTACACATAGACAGATTGGCTGATGGATATCGCTATATGGAAACGTTTAGTTTTAAAATTCTGGGTGTGTGTTAAAAGTAATTTGGTTGCAATTTTTATTTATTGACTTTTAATAGCAAGAGACTATAAAATTAATTGTTATAGGTGGTAGGAAACTTTTGACCATACTAAAATGGCGTCTCACTTGAATACTAAAGAGCCTTTTTGTAAGAATTGGCTAATAAACCTATGCTATACCCTTCATCGTAAGTAGATGTGTATATAGAGTTTGGTATAAGTATAGTTTATAAGACATGCAAGAAAGGAAAGAACTATTGCTAATTACAACATTTATTATTTAAAACATGCCGGCTATAAATCAAATGCGCGTTCCCTGTTAGAGGCTGTTTCCTTTTTGTTTTGTTAGAGTAAGGAACTTTAAAATAGACATATCTCGATGAAACTTGTCATATGGATACATGATCACTAACTGGAAGTATATAAAAAATGTTATTTAAAATTTCAAAAATTACGGTAAAATCACTAATAGAAGGACGAAAGGACGAAATTTTGAAAAACACTTTTTCTTTGTTCGAATATAACATTTGGTGTCTCTTGCTCTTACTTATAGTCTCCGAGATATACATAGGTTATTATACAAACGATGAAGAATCGCATAACATATAAGGCATCTATGTACAAAAATTGGTATCCCTTATAGTCTCTGAGATACAGGAGGACAAACAAATAAATTGTTCTTTGTGCTGATTGTTCATGTGGCGGCTAACTGTTACGATGTTGATCAAACTTTATAAGTATTATGGTGAAGCATTATTTAAGGCTACAAAAAAAGTTGCCATATAAAGTCGACCACACGTTCATTATTATTGAGCAATATTTCGCCTTAAAATGGAACTCAGTTGGATTTTTTGAAGTTTTTTCATTGATCATATGTATAAATTATTTTTTAAATGCATTGTGCATTATTTAATCAACACTTTTTTTTTTTTTGCCTTCCACCCCTTTTGTAAAAGTTGCGTACGCCCTTGCTATAGTACTATTAACAATTGCATTATCTCTCATAAAATATTTAAATTGTATTACATTGTGTGGCGCACTGCGCCATTGACAGGATTTATTGTAATTATATAGAGAAAAAGTTCAAGAGAGTGTTAAGACTAAGCACAAGTAAAGAGTAAATTATGTAAAGAGAACGCTATATATATATATGAGTGTTTGTTTGTGCAGGGCTGGCGAATCGAGCCGGGTGAATTCTCTTAAAGCTCAGCTCAGTGCTGTGTGTTTGTATGTGTGTGGGGAGCTCTGTTTTTGTTTTTTGACAAGTTATGATAGTAGCTGAATCGAACGTGCTCTTAAAGAGTAAGTTTGCCCAGGTTGGGACCCTGTGGGGTAACGGCCGCCGGTTGTGTTATCTGGAAAGCATCCGCTTTAAGAATCGAAAACAAAAAAAAAATGTTTTTAAGAAATGGGAAACACTTTACACGCAATGTCCGCCTGTTTGTATTATTTCTGTATGGGGCCTCAGCTGTAGATGAGAGCTTTAGTGGCGTATGTTTGCATGTTTGTAAGTGTGTGTGTGTGAGCTTGCGCGGGCTGGTTTATGCTTGGCGCGTTGTCGCTCACCCGACTCGCTGACAGTCAGAATCGGGCAACACACCGAGCGGTACGCGCGTTTTTTGGTTTGGTTGGTTTCGGTTGCGGTTGCGGTATTGTCGGTTAAGTTGTTTTCTCTGCAGCCCTAAATTCACTCTTCCTGCTGCTTAAAAACAATTAGAACGATTATAAATCATCGGCAACAAACACACCCGGAATCAAGAGCCATCATGTATTTCTTACGTCTTGCTGTTGCGCGCACCTTGCGTGATAAGTCGAACGCATAACGATAACGGTAATTAAACAGGGAGCATGCGCAACCCTTTGAGAGTGAATGGCGAGTGCATGGGAGCGCATTGCGAGTGCACCCGAGTTGCGAGTTGTCTGTGAGTGTCTGCGCGACCTTCTTTGGGCAGCGCTACACATTCGTACACACACATATACACTGCTGCAGACATGTGCGAGTGTAAACAAAAACGAAAATTGCGCCAAAAAATTGTCGAAAATATAAAACGAAGAATCGCTTCATGCTTCAGCTTAATGCAGCATGTAGAATGTTGTTCAACAAAATAAAAACAATAAACAAAAGCCGAAATGCACACAATAACATTGAAGACTTTTTTTCGAGTGTATTTTGTTGAGTTTCACTTTCATGTGACATGCTGCTAACGTGATATCAGATCGCGTTTATCTTGGTAGCTAAAATCTTAATTTGTTCTTATTTTACACATATCTTAAGAAAAAGTAGCAACGGTTGCCAGGCGTGTCTAAGTTTATTGCTAATACCCTGCCACAAACGTTTTTATACGTTAGCTAGGGAAGTTTGTAATGGGGTAGGATAGCAGGAAACGACGGTTTGTTGATTTCCTGTGGTTCTCAACTTTAAATGTAAATCCATTTAAAAATCTTCTTAATGAACCGTTTAAATTGTGTCTTTTGCCTGCGACAGATAGGGATTGTGCATAATTTTGTGGAGGGTATAAAAGCATTGGCCAAGCCGAAGGTAACTTCTTTCTTGTATTTTTATTGCTTACTTACACATAAATATTAGAACGATTTTTGGGCCATACAGGTAAACTCAGCAGCAACAGCAAGCAGCAGCATCCGCAACCCAAGCATTATCTGCACAGTTATATCTATATCTCTAATGTTTTGTTTGCTCTTCTCCCATCCCGCATTGCTTTAGCGGCGGGTGCGTAAATTCGTACGTGCGTGAGTGCCAGTGTGTATGTGTGTGCGTGTATGTGTTTTGGTGTGCGGATGAAAGTGACAGCTTGGCTGCCGAATTTCAATTAACAAAATAAGCAAAAGCCACGCAACTTTTTGACATAATCGATACGCACTTGAATGACACCAACACCAACACCAACAACTACAACAACAACTCAGCAGCAGCAGCACCAGCAACAACAACAACAGCAACAACAAGCTCTTGAAGTTGCCCAGCAAGCCTCGAATTCGCGGCAGCTTTTTTGTTTCTGCGTACATTTTTACACGTGCATCGGATGAGCCATGTCCGTCGATGCGACGTTGACAGGCAACCCAACTGCCACTTGCCATGAGAGCGAGCAACTGCTACCCGGCGGCAGCAACATCAGCGGCAGCCATTCTTGCTGCCACGAACAACAAATAGCCGAACACAGTCCCGAGCAACAGCATGGCTCCCACACCTACAGCATTAGCAGCGCCGCCTCAGCATCTGCCTCCACCTCCGCATCCGTGCCCGCCCCTGTCTTTGCCGCTGGCTCAGCGACAACCAGTGGGAGCGCCACGTTACGCTCAACAGCGTCGGCGCGCAGCAATGAAACCGCCAGCACCACCTTCACCGCCAATGTACACGAGCACGAGGACAGCATCTGGGCCGATGCTAACTGCTTTAGCGACTGCGCTTCGTCGTCCTTGACCACGCCAATGTATTTGGATAAGGAAGACATTGACGTTTCCCTAAGGCGAACGGACGAGCTTTGTTATGCTGCCGACCTCGACGACACTGTGCTGCGCTACTCCTTCAAAGGGAATGCGCCCGAGCCGTATTCGCCGAAGAAAGAATTTATCTACTCGAGGCCGCTTGTTGAGAAACAGGTAAGTTCTTAGGTATATATGTATGTATATACGAATGCATATGTACATACATACACACTTCCAAACAGACAGGCATACTATATTCAGACGTTTTAATATATTGTACCTACATACATACATACTTGTATATATGTACACAGCGTATATAGAATAGCCCTACGTTTCATATTTCATAGTGTTTTTGGTGTTGCTGGGTGCGATTTTGTGTCCGCCCTTCCTTTATGCTTTATATTTTCTCTGGCATTGTTTTCTGATATTTGCTTTAATTTTGTTTTTGTTTTATTGCGTTCGAGTTCCGAAAGCGACTTGCGTTGCAAAAAATTAATTTATTGCTTCGATTTTTCGTTATTCGTTTTGTTTTAAAATTGCGGTTGATTTGTCACAATTTGTAGTGCGCCGAATTGTTTGTGCTCTGCCTTCAGAAGGTGAAAGGGTGAAAAGGAATTATACAAATATCTGCTATATCATACAAGATTAATGCTCCTTAAAAGTATATCTTGCCACTTATCAAAATTTTAATTAGGTTGCGAATAAGATGTTTACTTTTCGCCTAAATGAACGAATTGTATTAAAATAAAATGAATTCATTAAACATTATCTAAAATAATTCTACAATTTACTTTTTAAATAAGTCAAAGCTTCTTGACTTCAATTTAATTTTATGGTTAAGAGTATTAAGTGTTTTGTGTTGAATGTTTTGACTTTTAACTATTTGATAACAAACAAGTACAAAAGCTAAAGTCGGGTGTCCCGACTTTGAAATACTCTGTACATATGTTTACAATAATTATAGAAAATAAAAAAAAATTCAATGATCGATTTTACCTTTCTCGGTATTCGAACTCACGTAAAGGGTGTATAATTGCACATTTACATAGCAATTGCGTCTGTGTGAGTGTATGTATGCCTATGCGCATCAATTCGTGTCTGTGTAAGCATTTTCGCAGTCAACCAAACCGCAACATCAACAACAGCCGCGGGCAGCGCTTGAGCAGCGCTGCAGCAGCAAATATATTTATGGCTATAACTTCTTGGTAAATCGGTCTATCATAGTGAAACTCGGCATACGGACACATAATTACTAACTGGGGGTATTTGCAAAATTTTAGTTCGAAATTCCAAGAATTACGGGAGTTAGAGAAAATCGCATTTGCGGGGGAGAGGGGGGTGGGAGGGAAATTCCAAAATATACATTTTCTGCGAAAAATTTGGTGTTCCTAGGTCTTATGGTCTCCGAGATATAGGCGATTATACGAATGGAAAATCGGGAAAACCCCCATAGGGGGGAAGTGGGGGGAAAATCAAAAAAATAAAACAAACTCGTATAGAATACATACATAACGCATCTTTTTGCAAAATTTGGTGTCTCTATCTCTTATAGTCTCTGAGATCCAGGTGTTCATACGGACGGACAGACGGACAGACAGACAGACAGGGCTAGATCGACTCGTCTTGTCACGCTGATCAAGAATATATATACTTTGTGGGGTCTGCCACGCCTCCTTCTGCCTGTTACATTTTTCAGCTCCCGCAAACCTAATATACTCTTGTACATTTCATGTACAGAGTATAAAAACAAAAAAAAATAGGCACAAAGAAAGCGTTGTTATTGCTGGCTATCGGCATTTAAATATACACGCTTGAATGCACACACAGCCAAAAAACAACAAAAACACAACAACAAACAAAACAACAATAACAATAGGGGGTACAATAATAACAACAATAGTCAATATCGCACAGTGCACGCCGATGAAAAGCAGTAAACTTTTTAAAGGTCGATCTGTATTTTACAATTTTTTGGAGGTATTTTTAAATTTTCATTCAAAATAAAAGCGTTTTTTGAGCTGTGTAGTACATAGCTAGAGAATTTATGCGAGATATTGGAAATTCACAGTCAAATAATAATCTTTATATAAAAATTCACAATAACTATTCTGTGTTGTTTAATTTGATATCCCTTCTCTTATGCCTATCTTATTTCTACGTACATAATCTTTTCTCTTAGTAATCTTTATCCCACCTGTATAATATTATATTCATCTCACTCTATATCAACTTATTGTCTTAAATGATAGACTTTGAAATATTGTAGACAGTTTTCAGTGCAAGGGCTTACTCAACATTTGATCCAACAACAGTATTCCTACCTGACTGAATGAATGCCATCTGAAAGAAATAGAGCTTCAAACCTGCTGTGTGGATCAGTATCATCTCACTCTATATACTCTTTAATGATAGGAATAAAAAAGAGAAATTATTGAAGATAGTACAATGTTATAATTAAAAATTTTTTTAGCTTTAAACTATTACTATATTACTATGTGCACATATAATATATGAGAGCTTGCTCTGCAGTTTTGTGTTGAAGCAATCGCCAGTAATTACATCTAGGAATAATACTAAGTTAAATAAAAACCAAATAAATCTAAAACAAAATGGGAAATAAAAGACAAAAGTAAAAAGAAAACAAAGCGATATAATGTTTCTCATTTTTAATAAATTAACACAAATATTTATTTCAGTGTATGAATCAACAGCTTGCTTGCAAGTTAAGCCATGCAGTCGGTGCAAGTAATATCGAAACAAGAAAGAACGCTACAGTCGAGCAAGCCCGACAGTAAAATAGCCTGTACTCTCCACAAAAAAGGAAAATCAAAAAAAAATTTTTTTTAAAATTAAATTATTAAAAAAAGTTAATTAATTAATTAAGAATTTAAATTAAATTAGAAGACACGTTTATGTTCAGTTTTAACAGGATACATTTACATCACGTGCCTATGCATGCAACAACAACAGCTGCCGTCAGAGCTGCAGGCATCGCATGAGCAGCGATTTTATTTATGGCTATTATATTATGGAATTAATAAACAAAAACACGAATTGCGGGGGAGTGGGGGGTGTATCAGAATAAAAATAAACTTGACCTGCATAGGACGTAGGGGAACCTCGATACCAAGTTTGGTTATTCTAGCTCTTGTACTTCCTGAGATCCTTGCGCTCATACAGACAGACGGACAGACGGACATGGCTATATCGACTCGTCTTGTCATCCTGATCAATAATATATATACTTTGTGGGGTCTGTCACGCCTCCTTCTGTGTGTTACATACATGCGCACAAAACTAGTATAGCCTTTCACCCTTTGGGTACAGGCTATAAAAAACATGAGCAGTAAAAATTTGGGAATACCTAGTTGTTTCAAAAAAAAATGTAATATTCTGGAAATATATTTTTAATAATTTTCTCTCACTGATCCGTACTGCTGTAGGCCAACTGGTATTTGGCATCGACATGACAAAATCCCAGCTATTAAATAATACCCAAATTTAAATTCGGTTAGCGTGCGTTCTAATTCTCTTCATTCAACTTTATGAATGAGTCATTTCACAGAGTTGAATACTCGTATGATCTAATGTTATAGTATATTCTCAAACTGAAAGGTGTGAATAAGATAAAAGATACGCATATACGTAGTATATGTTTAGATTTTGATTAACTAGATCCTGTGTTGCTAATTCCGTAATCATTAGATCCGATTTCAGAAATTCTGCTTATCTAACAAAAACAATTCTAAATATAAATTCTTAAATGAATTCCATAGAATATTTTCTATAGCCTCTGTAGATAAGCTTAATGTGAAAAATGATTTTATGCCCAATGGAGAGATTTACCGTATAAATCAAAATTCTGAGTTCGTTAAAAAAATGTTGACATAATTATGCTATTAAGTCACGGGAGAGTGCTACTGACCACATATTAAATTATAATAATAGTAATGTGATAATAAAAAACAATTTCAATTGCTAATATACTAAATTTCAAACTATAAGTCAGTAACAATATGTATATATGTTTGTATATTTAAATTCAAAGGAAAATCTGTAAGTTTTGCTCTTCTACCGCAGCTAAAATCTATTTTAAAATGTTTAGTTAGAAAGTTATAGAAATTTATATACAGGGTGCGTCATCTTTTATGTCGGTGTGTAGATATTTAATGGCTTTGTCATTAGTGAACCGATTGACTTGAGTAGACCAGTGTTGAAAACCTCAGTTCAAGAAATTGTACAGAACCAAATTCAATAAAAATATCTCATACTTGAAAATCGGTTGTTTATTTTCAAAGATATTCAGTGTTTACATACCGACATAAAAGATGGCAACCCTGTATAGTATGGAATTTTTTTTGCTATCTACATTAATAGTTCCTTCTTTGCATTTAATCGAAATCCTGAACCCGCGAAATTGTATTGGTATTGTATTGGTATTGATTTCCTGTTTCGGACCAACATAAAAGTTATGCAGCTTCTCAGACTATGTCCATAAATAGCTTTATGCTGAAGAGCATAAGAAAAACACAAAAGTGATAAACAGCTTGCAAGTAAGTTGAAAATAGATGGTCAAATTCGCATTTAATAGGTTCCTACTGTAGTTGTTCGCCAAATTGCAGCTGCATCTTCATCACGACCGACCGACAGTGGACAAAATGCAAGTGTAGCAAATTTTTCGATGTCATTTGTGCATATTCGCAAAACACAAAGTGCAGTACACGAATTTGTATGTTAAATGCACAAGTAATTAAGTTTTAGGAAACAACACAACACAAAGCAGAACAACAACAGCAGAAGATATGCAGCCACCAAGGTGTGAAAAGTGGTCAAATCATGTGTCGAGACGTGACATTTTCGCTAATGTGAACAATGTGAACACACAAGCCAAACATATTTTACAACCGTCCATTAGCATTTTATCAACGTTTCCCACACAACACACCGCTTACAAGCCACTTACACACATGCTGACAATAAGTATTTACATATTCACATATTTACAAGCCAATAAGCACTGGGCTAAGCCATAGGCACTTGTAACAATGAAACGAGATAGAATGTTATAGTCGAGCGGGCCCCACAGCGGAATACCCTGCAACCAAGGAACCTAAGCTCCCCCCGCCGTGTACAAGAAGAAAATAAATCAGTGTTTGGGGGGTGTAGTTCAC